CCTTTGCCAAGGGGTGATATGACTAGGTCGTTCAATCTACCGTTGGCCCCTTGTTCTCTTAATCATCCGAGGTGCTCTGTAAAGCACTTATTTGAATGCGAAGACAAGAACTCAGGGGTAGAAGGAATGGAAGAGCGCTATAACAGGAGTCTGAAGCCACAATCAACCCTGATGGGTTGCTTGGGGCAATCATTTAACAGCAAAAGTGTGCGCCCAAGCGACGACTCCGTAAGTATTCTTCGTTCTCACACAGAGAATTCACCAGGAAGACGAAATAAAGGGTATCAGAAACACACATCTACAGTTTTTTGAACCGGACTACTCTCTAGCGGAATGGCTGAAACGCCAGGAACTTGCCTTGGAATTAAAATCGGAACTGACGGATGGCGAACACAACCTGGTTATCTTCAAGGGAAAGTAATTCGGAAAAATATGACTTTTCAGTGGAACCAACCAGTACTACTATGAACAGCGGCAGCTAACACAGACACCATCGTAAAACCGGTCGCTCGATGAGGCAACATGACTGAGTCCTTAATGGCCGGTGTCCTGACCGAAGCAACGGGCATTAATGGAACCCATCAAGCAATGGAAGAGCCCTTTGACGCCCAAGATAACGCAATAATGCCTACAACAGCGACAGATGCAGCCGCAAATTCGGCTGGCGCAAAATTTAGGTCCTTCTATACTAATACCCAAAGCCTCGCATCGAAACTTGACGAGCTTAAATTTTGCCTTGCCGAACTGTCTCCGGATGTTTTAGTAATAACCAAAACGTGACTGTCCGCGAATAGTAAAGATAGCCAGATAGCCTTGACTGAATACCAAATTTGTAGGAGGGACACAGGACATCGTCAGGGTGGTGGTATAGTTGAGTATGTGAAGAAAGACCTGTCAGTGTCGGGAGACACCGCTAAGTTTGCGCGCATCAAGGAAGCGATTTGGCTAACCATCAATGATACTGTTTCCTGTGTCTTGATGTACTCATTATCCACCGACCTCTTAAGACAGACCAGGTCGCCGACAGTCATCTTCTAGAGCACTTGGTGAGATGTTCCAGTCGATCTAACATTATGATCACGGACGCACCAGCAATATACTGGGCCACTGTTCAAACGTTAGGTCCAAAATCGACATTCGACTACGGTTTGCTGAACAAACATTAAAGGCTCTTCTCACAGAAAATGTACTGCTTCCATGGACAAAGACTAAATGCTTGGATCTGGAACAGACTCCAAGTTCCCTTAATAAGGACTTCCGATGGTGTTGAGATAGCTGATAATAGGGATAAAGTTGCGTATTTTTCACAGCTTTTCCAATCCGTCTACGCAAACGAAACAAGGTCCCTTCCTCTCTCCACAGAAGAACTGCCGACTTCAAGCGTAAGTATATTTTCCTGAGAAGGTGTAGTCCGAAGAGAATTAGAGGTATTGGACAAATCTAAGTCTCCAGGACCATACGAGATTACACCCAAACTTCTCAGAGGACTGGCCAGTGAACTTTTTGTGCCATGTTCGATGCTCCTTTGAACGTTATTTGACACTGGAACACTTCCTATCGAATGGAAGCCGGCGCATAGCACTCCATTATACAAAGGAGGCAGCAGGACATCGACGGCAAATTACAGGCCCCCTAAGCCTGACGTGCATTCTCTGCCAAATTATAGAGAGTACCATGAAGAGTCAACTGATACACTTCCTGGAAGCTCACTACTTTCTAGTAAACTGCCAAAATGGGTCCCGGAAAGAAAGATCCTGCACGACATACTTGCTGCAATCATTTCAAAGGTGGATCAGAACTCTCGACAACAGGCACTCGGTCCACATAGTTTTCACTGAATTCCAGAAGGCGTTCGACACTGTGCCACACCAGGGACTGTTACGCAAACTGAAAAAAATAGAGAACAGAGGCAACATCCTCAAATGGATCGAAAACTTCCTTGTGGGCGGACAGTAGGTTATGTGCATCGGCAAAGGAAAATCAGACCTCCTTGTGGTCGAGATTGGCGTTCCCGAGAGTTCAGTACTGGGTCGCATTTTATTCCTGATATACGTGGACGATTACGCAAGAGCTTTGGACTGCAAAACAGCAATGTTTGTCTACGAGATTAAAACATACAGTGTAATTCGGGAACCTTCCGACGAAGACAGAAAGTTGGGAGAATGGTCAAACCGTTGGCTTACGCAGTCCAACGTCGGTAATTGGAGCACTCGTCGCCTAGGCAACTCAGGGATGTCCGCCATCAAAAGAGATTTCTTTTTGGACGGTGTAGCATTACGAGATGTCAAAGCCCAAAAGGTCCTCAGTGTGCTGACAACGAACTCTCTAAACCATCGGCACATTGTTCGGGAGTGTTAAAAAGCTCAATGCCCGTACTGTACGCCATCAAGCGCGCATTTACGGATTTTGACGAAGGCATATTCTCAAAGACCTTCGGAACATTCTTGCGGCCACAATCGGAATACGGCATACAAGCTTGAAGACTATGGGCAGTTCAAAAGCAAAATTGCCTCGAAAGACTTCAGAGGAGAGCTACAGAGATGGTTAGGGGTCAAAGCTTCTTGTCCTATGCAACCCGCTTAATAGATATGAACCTCCTCCCTTGAGTTAAAGACGACCTCGCGGGGATCTCTCGTAAGTATTCCACATAGTGAAGGGTTTTGACTGCAGCCTGGCCTTTGAGGACATTTTTAAATTCGTTACCTCGACCAACCTCCGAGGTCACCCGTCAAAACTGCCTACTCAGAAGGCAAGGCCGGGTGTGTGGAATTTCTCTTTCTTTGTCCGAGTGGTCAAGTCATGGAATGCCTCCCTGCAGATGTTGTGTTGTCACCATCGCTATAGTCCTTTAAAAAAAACCTTGACATATTTATGTTCTGAAATAAACAAGAGTGATGAAAGGTCAGGCTCATCCCCTGAGACTCATCCTCATTTTGTCATACCATTATCGGCTCCTTTGAATTGTTGTAGCCCAGAAAATTTGTCTGCCCGACGAACCCACTTTTACGTTGCAAATAGGGTACTCAAAGGCTAACGCCTACTTCCCTCAATAAACTGAACTGAATTGAACCTTAGGCGGGGTGGCATGGTTTCAGTTACATGTTCTTTTCCATTAACACCTTCGCCCACTCGTTATGACTTCCAATCTACATCTAGGTATTCATATGAATAACACCTGGTTATCTAAGAAACTAACTGAAGTCTACTACCTTCCCGATCTCGGTGCGACTTAAGCTACCTGAGCCTAGTATGCCAAGGTCGGTCTGAAAGAACATACTAAAAATTGCAACATAAAATAGCTTTGCGGACGAAGGACTTTAACTGCTCACTCATAAATTGATAAAATGCGATGTTGGAATACTTCCGCCGCATTACTAATAATCAAAGTGCAAGAAATTTGTTTAAACTGCTTACCGCGATTAACGCGCCAGGCACGTTTCTCCCCGTATCCCGATTCTCCCTACCGGGCTCTTAAGGGGTGTTGACAGTCATTATTTTATTGTCAGACATAAAATGGTTTTATTGTCCTTTTCCTTCAGTATAAAGTGTATGTGCTACCTTATTTTGCACCGGTTAGCGCGTTCCCGAACAGCTGTCAAAATCCATATTCGAGTGGTCTTATCGCTTTTCTCGTGTCTTGCCACTTGTTAACCCCCGTTTTGAAAGGATTTGCGCGTTTACTTTCTGCTTTGCATAATAAGCTTACAGCAGGACTAAGGATTGACAGGCTACATGCCTAGTGCCTCGCTTGCGTGAGGAACGACTGGACCACTGAAAGTCCCCATTTTTACTATTTTTATAAGGTCCTTTAAGAAAGTTATCTTAAAGTAATTGTGACAAACAAGAGTTTTTGTACGTTTGGCCCTCAGTTAAGTTAATGGACCAGTTTCTGATACCGACCGATTAACATGCATATAATACACGAATTGGCACTTATTTTCCTATGAATGAGTGTAAGATAGTTTGCATGAAATATTAAAACAAAAGACCGGTGCACACGCGCCGTCTATATTTATTTTAGGGATTGTCGTAGTAGCTTTTCATAATCAGGCTGACCTTTTGTTGGGACATCTGTGACGATCTGACATCTTGAAAAACCACATCACCTCTCTCTCCACTTAGTTGAAATACCCAACAGATCAGTAAAATAGTCGGCTGCAGATTGTTAAGGCTGCAATCAACCTGCAACCGTTACTGGCCAGACGGGACTATGCACATCCGAGCGTCCTCTATAGCGGCTTATTTTCACTCAACGTGTTTCACCAGCTGGACGATCGAAATAATGCCGGTGGACGAATGAGGTCTTCACTTTAACACCGGTTGCCTCGTCAACAAATAATAGTGCTGTATCGCTACCTTGAAACTTGATCAAGTGATATTGACGATCACTAACCTCTAATACAGTCCGTCTATTTCACTGCTTCTATATCAGTAACCATCACAGAGACCTCATTCTGCGTGCCGTTGTGTAACCTTGAGTAGTGACGAAATGTCAGATGCGTCGTCTTATGTTCGGAAGGGGTGAGCTAAAAATACGCCTATGCATGCGATATGTATCATCATTAAATTCAGTTCAAAATTCGGCAAATAGAATGTAGTTCTCGAAAAAAAAGATTCTTAAGGCTAGTTTGTGATCCAACTGACGTAAGATTCACCAAAAACTTACCCACACTTTAGTCGGCGGCCATTTGCCTTTCGCGGCCATTCTTGATTGTTTTTTTTTTCACCCTTGTATTTCTACACAATCTATGATCTTTTCGTTATTAATTCCCTGTTTCGCTGTGTAATTAACAGTCGTAAATATTCTTAGACAACCATTTTCGTTATTTGGGCGAGAAACAGGTTCTTTCGGACTGCTGTTTATGGGCAAATTTGCCTGTATAGCCAGACGTCTGAATTTATTTTTTAAAATTCTCAAACGACTGAAAATTTTAAATATATGTCGTCTTTATACTCGTCTAACTTCCTCCTTTGGGCATGTGTGATTATTCTTCGAACAGATGAAAAGAGTCGTCAGTTCTGATGAAATCCCGGCGCAATGTCTGGGTGAGACTGGCGCACTGAGCTACAAGCCACCTACGGAGCAGGATTTAAAGGACTCAGCCTCCCTTGAAGAGGCTTTGGCTCAGATGAACATTTTCGAAACTTCAGAGGAAATCATGCAGCGTCGCGAAGCCCTTCTCCGTCTTCAAGACATTTCGAACAAATGGATCTACAAGAAGGCCTTGGAACAAAATCTTCCCGACCACATCGCCAGTGCAACAACAGGAAAGATATTTACTTTCGGTTCCTACCGCCTTGGCGTAAATTTTCGAGGCGCCGATATTGACGCCCTCTTCGTCGTCCCGCGTTTCATAACCCGGGATGAATTCTTTTCCGAATTCCAAGCCGTTCTTACAGAGGAGGAGGCAGTAGAGGAGATTCACGCCGTTGTGGATGCTTTCGTGCCCGTACTTAAATTAAAGTTTATGGGCGTCGAGGTAGGCCACATGGATTCATCCCAACAAACGTTCTAGATTGATCTTCTTTTCGCCCAAGTAGACATGATGTCTGTACCAGAGAACTTCAGCCTCTCCGAAAACACCGAACAGCTCCTAAGGAACATGGACGAGAGAGACGTGCGAAGTGTAAATGGTGTTCGCGTCACAGAGGACATCCTCAACTTGGTGTTCGATAAGGATGTATTTAAAACAGCTCTTAAAGTAAGATCTGTTTATTGTCCACAAACTTCCTTTTATTTTCTGCACAGGTAATAAGACTGTGGGCGAAGCGCAAACAGATTTACTCTAACGCTCTGGGCTTCCTCGGTGGTGTTAGTTGGGGCATATTGACCTGCCGGATCTGCCAACTCTACCCTTGCGCAGCGCCATCGACTATTGTATACCTTTTTTTCACAATATTTAGTCAATGGCCATGGCCGAAGCCCGTTAGACTCCGGGACTCTGAGTACATTCCCGGCTTGAACCTGGCAGTGTGGGATCCTCGGGTAAGCAGTGCTTCAATTCAGAACACGGATTGAGATTTTTTTGCACTAACTGAACTTGCAATTATTACGCTTCTGATCATGACTGATCTTGCGGATTTCCGTGATTTTGTGGCCGGTATCCGTCTGTGGTTCCCGCCGACGAAACTAACGACCTCGGCACACTTCTGCGGATGCTAAGGGCAAATTTGTGGTGTTCAATAGCCACTTCGATCCAGATGGACAGTGTCAGGCCAAGTTTCGGACTGAAGGCGAAATTTCGAGTCCCAGGTGTATGCATAAGTGAAGAAGAGTCGCGCACCGGAATAAAAGAGGCCGAGAATTGATTGAAACCTGGGCCTCGGATGAGAACTCGGTCAATCGATTTATCGATCTGGCGCCGGCGTACAGAGCCCTGCGTAGTCACCTCCAGTCCTGCGCCGTCGGTCGATAATTGGCCTGCATGCCTTATAACTGTCGCTTGTTCTGCTGCTGCTGCTGCTTCCTCTGACGATGGACTCCTGTACGAGTCTGAAAGCTCAGGACAATAAACAAAGTGTTCCGGTGCTCGACTCTTCTTCTTCGCTAAAGTTTCGGACTGTTTGCCTCTCGTTCTCTCCCGGTGTGAGGCAGTATCAAAGCTCATTAGACGAGAGATAAGGACTGTCTATACCACTTAGACTGTCTGTCTAGGGTTGTTTGAACAATCCCTCGTTGATGGTCCCGAAGCAGTGGGAACAGAAAAAAAAAATTAAATTCATATTTCAAACACGGCCCAGCATTCATGACTCTAGAGGAGGGTTGGCCGAAGAGACAACCAATGAGTGCGGGCTTCTTTGATGGTGTCTCGATTGCCTAGAGACGTCTTAGAATAGCTGGCAAAGAAAATGCGAGTTTCCCAGCATTGGGCGACAATGTTGTCGCCCCTCCACCCACCTAATACCTCCTTTTCCGGAATTACTTCGAAGGATTAGTAGTATAAATGACTCACAGTTATTCCATCTCGAAAAGCCATGCTCACTGGAAGAAGCGCGCTCACTTTCTGGCCTTTCCAATACGGCCTTCAGATATTTACCTTGACCGTCCACTTCTTCGAGCTAACGATCGCTAACCGCGAAAAATGTCCTGTATTGTTCGGGAATGCAAACCGAGTTAGTTTATACAGCAATGGCGGCAAGACTGGTTGTACTTACTTGTACTTGATACGGCTGCGATCATGCCTGATCTAGCCGGCCTCGATGATGTCCCGAACTGTACCTCTCCACGCGTGACGATCCGCGCCAACAGATCTGGACAGCTTAGCCCATTCCCTTCGCCAACGACGTAGACCGAATACCGAAGGTCCAAGAACCACCTCCATGTCTTGACGGACAGTGTCGAGCCAGGTTTTGAACTGACCCCCTCTTCGACGCCTCCAATGAGGCAACGGTGCCGGATCGAAGGCAGTAACACTGAGCTCCTGAGGTGGACGACGAATAACATGCCCGAACCACCTTAGTCGTCTTTCTTGGATGGCCTGAGTTATCCTTGCCATGTTGTCGCAGCGAGCGCGGACTGTCCCATTTGAGACGAAGTCGGTGAACTTCACTCGAAGGATGATCCTCAAGCAGTGGTGGTCAACTACCTCCAGTTTTCGCTCATCCTCCACGCGCAAAGCCCAGCATTCACAACCGTAGAGAAGGACAGACCGGACAGATGCACGGTACACGCGAATCTTAGTGGCGATGGAGAGGTCACGTCGGTTCCACAGGCATTTCCGAAGGCTTGAAAAAACCCAGCCGGCAGCATCGACTCGGGAGACAATGTCGTCCTTGCTCTGTCCATTAGGCAGCAGCCTCGCCCCGAGGTATTTAAAACTGTCCACTTCTTCAAGTTGACAGCCATCAATCCCCAGGGGTGCCTTTTCCTGGTCAGGGATGCAGCTTGAGAATACTTTGGTCTTCCCAGTGTTTATGGACAAACCGACTGATTTAGCGACCTCGTTCACCCGTGACACCATAGACTGCAGATCACCAAAACTTGAAGCAAGTAAGGCGATATCATCGGCATAGTCGAGATCAGTCAGTCGATGTCCGGGTGCAAATTCAACGCCGTCACTGTCGCGTAGGGCCTTCCCGAGGATCCAGTCAATAGCGTAGTTGGACAGTATGGGTGACAGGATACAACCCTGTCGGACGCCAGACCGAATACCGAACGGTTGGGAAAGATTGTTACGGACCAGGACTCTCGCAGTAGTGGAGCGATAGTAGGCCTTGCTCATGGCGATGATTTTTGCCGGTACACCATCTAGCAAAACTGGTTGGTCTGGTGACTGCTTACTTGAGACTATCGCAAATAAAGTATAATCACGTTGCTCACCAACTTGCCACCACGCACGGAATTTTTGTAGTTTTTGGGGTCACTTTCCAGTTTATAAAGCACTGTAACCGAAGTGAAGCTTGCTGCGGACTATTCGTGTTCGTGTTCAGTTGTCAGCCTCACAGGATTTAATGTCCCAATACATGCCATCAAAAATCCGTGCCACAGTTCTTTTTCTCGCCCCGCTTCCAAACAGCACCGCATTTGACGTTTAGATCTTCTGCCTGTCACGCCGAAAACGCTTTATTTACAGACTGCCCGAGCGACTTGCTTGCACTAACGTCTTTTTCTCTATAGCATAATCCGCCCGATCAGTACCATCTGATGCCTATTCTTACACCGAGTTACCCGTCTCAAAATTCAACTTACAATGTCCAACGGAGCAATCGCATTATCATTCAACGTGAAATTATGAATGGTAAGTAGGCTAATTTACTCGTGCATTTTGTTGACTCTGGTCGCAATCCCCGCACGAGGGTATAAGTTGACGCGTCACTGTTTGCCGCTTAGCCGAGTTCTTGGGAACCTGTACTAGTTTTTAGCCTCATGGGCTAGTTTGGTGTCATTGTCTACTGCAAGTGCACACATTCGATACCGAATAAAACATAACAAGGGGTAAGGCATTAATTTCCACTGCACGTTCTACAGCCGAGTGTCTCATCACAGAGCAGTAGGAGTTTAACTGATCAACAGTTTTGGCAAAAACTTTCGGAGGCACCCTTTTATGGTACAGTCTCCCTCGCTAGAAGCTGCCATTGACAGGCTCGACCGACAGCCTTACGCAATCTGCCCGTACTTGCAGTATATTAGTATGTGTAGTCGGGAAGCCGAGATGAGCCGCATATGACCATTTGTTATTTCCGTTACAAAACGAGTAGCATAAATCACGCATTATTAAACTTTGCATTTCGCCTTTACTCCACAGTCGGCGTTTCCAAGGAATGCGCTGAAGTGGAGCTTGATCCTCGGTAACGAATTAATCGAAATTGGGGTTTGCCGATATCTTTGCCATGAAAGGTTAAGAATATGTTCAGGAGAACGTTGAACATTCAAGTACCGTTTGCATCCGATCGGTCTAATCAAAACACACAATATTACAATGGAACTGCTATTTCCGTCAGCGATCTCCCAGGTGAAAGAGAGCCAGCTGATATAAGGATCCACACGACTTGTCGATCTCCGTTACTAGGCGCTGACGCGATAACCATCTACTGGCGAAAAACGAGGTCCATAACTCTTACAAATGTGTATAAAATACATAGAATATCTTTCGTTGGTGGTTAAAAGTTGCCTGAGACCTAAAATGTATATAGATTGACACCGTTGCAACGGGGAGTTGGGTGGTCATCACCAAGTCTATCGGACGTCGCGTAAAAGTGGTCGGTCACTCCGTCGACATTTGCAGTCTTTGACGACAAGGACAGCTAAGTGAAATTGAACATCTTCAAATTGTAGCTTTTTAATTTCCTTAAAAATTAACTGCGAACTTGGAGTAGGTCAGTATATTTAAGGTCAATAGGTTCAGACCTAAGTTTTTATGCATGAATGTTTTGGCCGAAGTCAATCAGCCACAGGAATGTCTACCAGAAAGCAGACAGCGAATGCTGAGGGACCCATTGGCGAGCCGAACCCCACGCAGCTGTGTCATGCAGCGGCAGAATATCGGCGAAACACGCGTGTATGGGCTTTTGGCTAGTACCTGTGCTGTTAGTATGTAACCACCTTACCCTAAATGTTTAAGCTGTAGCAAACGTATTGACAATAGTTGGACACATCTAAACTGGAAAATAAGATGAGCTTACAAAATCACCGTATCATCTCCACTACCAGAAATGCCCCAAACGGCGATTGGCGAAATTCTTAGTAAACTCCAAAATATGTCCGTGCCGATCTAATCGGCGTCTCAGGGCAAACTGACTCCGTCCTCTAATGGTGGAGACGGAAACGGGCACCCACCTTCAAGCAGGTAGACAGCAATGGGGCAGAGGCAGATGCTCGTTTTGGGCGGCTTTCTGCCTGATTAATAATTTTCTAACGTGCGAGCGGCTTCATAGGAGCGCCTGCAGCGCTGCCAACGAGCCGCCGCTTGAGTTCCCCTCCCTGTTCAGAATCGTCTTCTTCCATGTCATAATTATCCCTGAATCTACTTTGCATTTACACTTTCGTACCTTGTATAGGTCTGAATCTAATGAAGGAAATCCTCCTACGGCAGCGTCCCTGGTCCGATCTTTTTGAACCTACCTTCTTTTTCACCTATCGACATTACGTTGTTGTGATCGTGACGGGCGAGGAGAAACGTTCCTTTGTGGAACTCTGTGGCCTTGTGGAATCCAGACTGAGGGTTCTTGTCGGCAACTTTGAGACAAATCGGTACGTGAAGATCGCACACGTAAACTGCCGGTCCTACGGCCGAGGGCCACAGGACTCCACAGATCTCGTCAAGAAGTGGTTCATCGGTATGGAGTTCGACAGGAACGCAAACTCCATGACAAGCCTGACGACAGTTCACGCACCTAGTAATGGTGGCGAGAAGCCGAAACTCAATATTGACCTCAGTGATAACATCAGCTCCTTTGAGAAGTCTATCGAACGTGGAATTTCTTGTGACGAGTCGACGAATACAGTCACAGTGAAATACGCGAAAAAGTAAGCTTTCAGGGCATCTTTCTCTTTTCTTTCATTGCGGACTCATAGCATCGGTTATATTTGCTCCTCTCTCGGCTCCAAACGTCCCCATCAACGTATTACATGTCCAAAAAGAGTTTTACATCTCATAGGAGTGGCCAGCACCAATCTATCCTTATTGCATCACGCGGTCGCAACACGACAAACAATTAAAAATGAAGAAGATTTGCCGACAGAGATAGGAACGAGACTGGCGTAGCTCTTTCTGGCTTGTTTACCGTCGTTAGCGAGACTGCTCGTCCAAGGTTTGGACCCAGGCCAGTATACCATGCAGTTGCTGCAGATGTCCAGAGTTATTCAGTTACATGGGCAAGTAGACAATTGACCATACCAATATCCCAGTCTTCTTTGATCGTTCGGCCGTTGCAAATGATAACGTCCAAAGCGAAGGACACGCGATCGCTTGAACAAGAGCTTTATTAGCCTGACGTTTCGGATTCCCACTTAAATCCGTCATCAGAGACAGAGTCAGATAAGAGTGGTAAATTGCTCAGGTGTTGCAGTATTTATAGGATGCAGTTGCTAGGCCGCCGCATGCCTATCGCAGTTGGCAGCTCCCGAGTGCATCACGGCTCGACGGATGCCAACTGCGATAGGCATGCGACGGCCTAGCAACTGCATCCTATAAATACTGCAACACCTGAGCAATTTACCACTCTTATCTGACTCTGTCTCTGATGACGGATTTAAGTGGGAATCCGAAACGTCAGGCTAATAAAGCTCTTGTTCCAGCAATCGTGTCTCCCTCTTTGCGACTACTTCCTGGAACTCGCCTCTTCGCATCTATTAGCAAACGTCCACCGCGTACTCCACGGAGTGGGCGTGGCACTGGTGACATGCGTAGCATCTACTACAGTTGTCTCCCTCGCTTTCCTAGTTCCCATGGCAAGTCAAGGTTGTGGGGACTCCTAACCCACAGATGTACCCTTTACTGTCCGCCACGTTATCTGCACTCACCCTGGTGGGTCCTTTGTTTCGCTTCTGCCATCTGAACGACCAAATGCGGTGTCCCACAGTACTTGCTAACCTACCGCTGTGTTCGTACGCTTTCCACTGTTAATCACGATGAATTTTGTACCACTCTGCAGTGGGACTCAATCCTCGTTTGACAGCCCTCTGAACTCCGAGAGGGCCGAATCAGAATGCGCAGGAATGCACTTTCTTGTTAATCTAACTAGCTGTTGTTTCTTCCACTGAAAGCCCTATCAGGCCTGATGACAGGCTTCTGTGCTGTTACCTGCGACTGTCAGAATTGTTGGCGAATCCCAGCGCGCTTTTATAGCGGGTCTTGGTGCGCTTGTTATGGATATCCTTTACGCTCATGACGCCGTTGAGGTGAGTGCGAAGGCAGTCAAGGCATGCCGGAGGATAAACTACAAAGCGAAGGTCAAATTTCGCCGTTGGTGATATTTCTGCCCGATTATGGTACACGATGTGAAAGCCCTCGGCTATTAAACAACTTCTGCTATACTGGGCCGAGGATTCAGCCAGACTGACAAGGCAAAAGTGAGACTGACCAGGCGCGCTCAACCTTCTTCCGGTTTCGTAAAAACACTTAAAATACGCGTAAAGTCAATATGAAGTCCAGGCCGCAAGTATACGCCACTAAGATTCGCGTGTGCCGTGCATCTGTCCGGTCTGTCCTTCTCTACGGTTGTGAATGCTGGGCTTTGCGCGTGGAGGACGAGCGAAAACTGGAGGTATTTGACCACCACTGCTTGAGGACCATCCTTCGAGTGAAGTTCACCGACTTCGTCTCAAATAAGACAGTCTGCGCTTGCTACGACCACATCGCAAGGATAACTAACTCAAGCCATCCAAGAAAGACGACTGAGGTGGTTCGGGCATGTTATTCGTCGTCCACCTCAGGAGCTCAGTGTTGCTGCCCTTCATCAGACACCGTTGCCCCATTGGGGGCGTCGAAGAGGGGGTCAGTTCAAAACCCGGCTCGACACAGTTCGTCAAGACACGGAGGTGGTTCTTGGACCTTCGGTATTTGCTCTACGTCTTTGGCGAAGGGAATGGGTTGAGCTGTCCAGATCTGCTGCCGCGAATCGTCACGCGTGGAGAGGTACAGTTCGTGACATCGAGGCCGGCTAGATCAGGTATGATCGCAGCCGTATCAAGTACAAGTAAGTATACGAGGTTTGTATCCGGACAATCCTTTGCAAAGGGGAGGCGTGGTCTCGGCGCTCAGAGGATATTCATAGATGCTGGTTGTATTCTGCTTTTCCGAATTCGCTTTTGTCGCATCTTTAACAAACAGATTTACCGTCTGCCGGGTGCACAACCGGGCGACTGCATTTCCGTTACTCGGCGGCTTACACGGCTCGGCGACGCGTTTTGCCGACATGGAGGCCGACTCCTTTGGGATGCCTTACCCTGAATCGGCTCTGACAGCCTCGAGATGGCTAGCCAAAGACCTAAGTGGGTGGGTGTGGTCTGCGGGACTGACTAGTCTGCTGCCGTGTGGCTGCTGTAAAGATAGCCTTAATTCTGTGAACTGGTTGAGCCAGTCATGGTGAGTTCCATCACAGACACTAGCAAAATGCGACGGGCACCTAAGCGTCGTCAGTGCTTCACGTCGAATTGACAAGGATCAGATGATTTACCGACTTGCATCGTTTTTGGGGTCGGCTAGTGTTGACCGCGGCATCGTCTTGTTTGTAACCGTTGAGGAGTCCTCGCTGCACGAATGCGATGGACTTTCTGAGCACTGTCGTTGAGAGTTTTGACCTCTCTATGCCTCCAGCCTGCGACATATCTTTGCCCCCCCCCCCCCGGACATGACTGGACACATCTTCTCATTTAGGTCCCAACTCTCCCAGTTTATTTCCGCCGAGGAGATGGAAGAGATCAAGAAAATGGCCGCCGCTACGACAGCTGCTGGTAACCATGCCGTGCAGTCCGGCAGCACCAACCTTGCACGAAAGAGCTCCAGCTCGGTCATCTCCGACTCCCTGTCGACCTGCGACTCTCCGGCCTCCATCGCTTCACCCCTTTTGACGAGGGACTCTCCCCAACAGGTTCAGCAACCTGGCACCGATGCCGAGGACTCCCAGCCACCCTCCTCAAATGATAGGAAGGATGGGCGCAGTGAAGAGGACAAGGCAAAGGGAGCGGACACAGCGCCAGTATCCCCCTCTAAGGTGAGCTTTATGCCCCCTTTATGCCCCACCCAAAGTTCCTAGACTGCACTTTTTTGGGGATGGGGGAGGGGGGCAAGGATGAAGAACCTGCTCTGTTTTTCTTTTTTTCAAAACGCTTAGGACCAAGCGTAACTTATGTTGGCGGTCAAGTAGGTTTTATGTAACCCCGAAAACCCCCTAAAGAAGCCGTAAAAGAAAGTACTGCCATTCCGAAGAGGTACACGGATTTTTCGCATCCCCAGTCTCTGGGTTTCGCGCTCCTTTTGTTCACGTGGCGTTCTCATGCAGTTTGGCAGTAGCAGTATACCGTCGTTGCTGATAAGCCCCCAAATGAAAAATTTGTTGAAGTTTCACTGCACTTTATCCCCCACATTGACGCGGGACCAATCGGACGCATCTCTGGGGAAGTTCATGGACCCGAGGCACAGTGCGTTTTCTGGAGATGGTAGTCTTCCAGTGCAGTTGCTGGAAGTTATTGAATTGCAGTTTACTGTTTCACTTTCAATTTGGGCCCGACATGTTAGATCGTCCATCGGAGAATGACAACCACCATAGCTCACCCAGGGAGCAGTGGCAGCCCCTGTGCCAGTTGAGCTACAGTGGGAGGGACTCGCAAACCACCTATCACACCTCGCGCGTCATGGCAAGACCAGGCCAAAACAACAGGAGGCGCGGGCATGGGTTCACTGGCTGACCAGGCATCCGCCACGTCTGCGCGTACTACATACATGCTGGTCCCACAACATGCAACAGAATTCACCAAATGGGACCACAGGGGCCGCGTTAAGACAGAGTCGCACTGTCATGACTTCGAGACTGTCTTTGGCAGGCACATAGTTTAGAAGTGTCCCCGATTGCGAAAGACAGGAGGCTTGACGTAGGGTGAGCTTCATGCTTCCTTCCCTCAGTATGTTAGTAGCAGGTCGGAGTCAGGCCGGTTGAAGGGGGGGAGGTCAGGCACAGTGGCGAGATATTTTTCGTCCACATGGACCACAATTCCGGTCCGACCCCCGTCTAGATCTGATGCATCAAAGTCGTTCGTCTTGGTACCCTAAATTCGACCCAAATAACTCTGAATTCGCTCATTTTTTTTTCACCGGAATTATATCCCGAAGCTCGAGTCCGCATCTCGTTATTGGAACAAAAAAGGATTTCCTGTACTCTGTTCCGGTTTCGGAAAGGTTCAAATGATTGCAGGATTGTATGTAGTTGTTAGAAGCGTCACCATAAGTTCCGCCTTCCTTCTCAACAACTGTATGCTGTAAAGTCAACAAGCCGAGTTCCGGGTACTGTGCCAACCTCCAAAGCGCCTATTTTCCCTCCTATACAGTGACTGTTAATCAAAGAAGAGGAATTTTGAATGTCAGCGAATAAAATTAATAATTTGTAGATGATACATTTTAATTTTTAGGCCATGTGGACATGGTGTATATAGCCTTGAAAACCGGAAACGACAGTCGTCTGCCCGACTGTGCCACCTATAACCCGCTCCGAATTACCCTGTTCCTGTCTGTTCTTAAGAGACACTAAAATCATCTAGTTAAAGCAGCTGGTCGCAGTTATCTACAAGTGACAGTGCCTCTTTCTGTGCCGGAAACTGGTGCCGAACAGGTGTCAATAGTCTGTCATCGAAGTCCTCTCAGAACACAACGTTCCGCTGTTAGAATACTAATGCCGGGCTCATACGATGTTCGACCGCGGGCCATAAAATTCATTTTTCTTCGCCTTAAAGCCAGTCTTTATGGTAGTACCCGAACATCGTCAAGACAGCGTGCTGGACTCACGGAGTCGCGCAGCGCAGAAGGAACCGTTTTCCGTAAGCCAGCCAAGTGAGCTACATTATGTGCCGGGCCTAACTGCCACTTGATCCGTAAGTCACTCTCCCCACTCGCGAGCCTTTTTCCATCCATTCCGAAGTATAATGCTATCGGACTACTTGACGGTTGGAAGACGTAGATAGTGACGTTGACAGTATTCTGCATTATCACTTTTTAAAGTCCCCCACACCGTCTGACACTCGGCCAGGAGTGCGAAAACATTCACCCACCCCTGTTGCTGCCAGGGGCGATGGCACAGTCGACGGTCAAAGTGGAGAAACCGTCTCCGCGGATGACGACGTAGCCCTGTCACCGACTTCTGCTGCACCAAAACGACGGTGTCCCGGAGAAGCCCTTCCTGCCGAAAACGGTAACTCCTCAGCTGCCAACCCGGATTCTACTGTTCATGTAGCCTCATGACCATCAGCGCGAGGGCTTCTCTGGTCAATTGTGGTTCACCCCTCCGCTCCCACTCGGCCTCTGTACATTATGCCTCTCTCCCGCTTCCTCACACACACACTGTCTCTGCTCCTCCAAACCCCCGCCCGTCTCCAGAGTGCATCTAGGTCTCCCACTAACGCGCACAGTAACTATATCTCGCTTTCCATCACGTTTCCGCGTCTCCGAGACAGTCGCAGCCCGCGGATGCACAGTCCTCATGCGCAGCTCACTAACTGATCCCGGGCCTAGGATCGCTGTCCGTGATTGCAGAAATCCCCCTCCGCCTGCGATCAAGGTGCGTGCGCACTTACCATTGTTAGATGATTTTTTTTTCACCCGCCCACTCTATTTTAATAGTCAATTATGCCAGCGAATCCTTACACGAGATCACTAAATGATGACATGTATCTGCTGGAGCTTAAAAACGACCAAAAACGAACGAATAGCCACCGTGATAGCGATAGGGATGTTCATTAGGGTAAGGTGATACAATACTAACAGCACAGATACTAGCCACTTTTGGCTGGTATCTGTGCTGTTAGTATGGTATCACCTTACCCTAAAGTATACTACTAGCTGCCTGTCGGTAGTTAATGATTATTACGCGGTTACCCGCCGTGGCTGATGGACTTTGGCCCAAATATTCATGCATAAAATTCCCGCTCTGAGCCTATAGACCTTGAATAAACTGATCTACTCCAACTTCGTAGATAATTTCTGAGTGATGTTCGTCTTGAATGAGTTCGGAGATACCGCATCTGGTAGCATGACGCCGGTGTAGTAGTGCTTTGTTAGAGCTCTGTTGCTGCGTTCCTTTTATTACTAACTCAAGCCAACTTTAGGTGGTCCACCGTTCAGTGTTGTCACTGCCTTCAAGGCGAGTGCCCCTCTCCCCTCCGCGGTAGGCGCATGCTTCAAGCTTAATGTAAGGCCTATTTGGTTTGTTTTGCGTGAGGCTGCTGATTCTCTTTTACCGCTGCAGTTGCACTATGTCTACTGCGCCTCCTGAATCGCGCCCAATCCGGTGCCTGAGTAAGACTCACACACAGAGCAGCGGTCGCCCCACGAGCAGTCCCTCATCAGAGGCTCGGGGGCTGTCGCATAAGAGTTGACTGGGTCCTCGTTCATCCCGCTCCGCCCCGCCCCGCCCCGCCCCGCCCCATTTCTCATCTGCCATGCTTTGTTTTGCTGCTTGGAATGCTTGCCAGGTTGACTGTCCGACTGCTTGCAGCTTTTCTTTCCTGTCCTCACCCACCGCCCCCGCCCCCGCCGCCACCCCCGCAAATGACCAAACTTTGTACATCTTTGTTTCTTGCCTTTTCTATTGAATATATGTATTCTTTAATAGACCTTTTCCTTCCGCTCGGGCATCCCCGCTCAGCTAGTTCCGCCAGCTATGTTGGAAGTGCGTTAACCGATCGAGTCACGGGACACTCTTGTTCCGTTGTTCTTGGGGGCTCGATGTGGGGCCTCGCAGACAAAAGCACAGCTGCTAGTACTGTAGGCAGAAAGAGACTACCGGCGAAGCTAAGGGAGACTGGATAGCCATTTATGGCTTTATAGTCAGCTCTGGACAGTCCTAGTTCAGTTAGGTCCAACTCAAAGCAGTCCACTAGCACGACCCACGAGGCTAGCTGGAATGGTTTGTTGATTTCTGATTTAATTAACGCCATAGGCATACCCAACCGCATAAGGCGATTTGATGCCCCGTCTCCAACAACGTCTAAGCTCTGGTGGATGACACTCATTGATCACGTTACGGGAGCCGCTCGTCCTATTGTGCTCTATCCGGAGCCTCGTAGGCAGTCGCAAGTTGACTGGTAATATACGCAACGTTCCCATACTTACGCTTCGTTTCTGAAGTGTCTTGAAGTCCGTTCAACAACCATTAGATCGATTCCTATCCACCCTGTCGATTTTTCATCGCGGCTTGTGATCCGAGAAGGTTGTATCATTCAAAGCAAGCTATAACATAATCCGTGGGAGTACCCTTTCTTGCGGTTGTCCATTTCGCCAAAGACTAATTTGCGAGCTCTTACCTTTTTGCAGGACAATTTTATGCCGTCTGGGTCCGCGTCAAGTACTAGCTGGCTATACTTCCCATGGACCGATATGCCCTTTATGCCGAAAACTCTTTCGATGGCTCGCTTTTGACGGCTACTTAATGCTCCGTTTTCCCGCTTCGAGGTTCAGACTCCTTTGGTAAGGTATGCTGGTGCTCCCCTCGCCCTGTGCTCGAGTCCCATGCGGTGTTTAGGTATGGGTAGTCGGATAACCATTTTCCCAAGTAACTTGTCAGGAGATTTGAATTTGAACAAATGGCCTAGTTGGAAGTAGGATGCCGTTTTTAGTAGTGCAACTCCAGCTAGCAATCCATCCAGAGCTGCCCCCTCCAAGTGTCTGAAGCCTCGGTTCTCATTCCGGCTGGTCGTCAGGCGAGAATTCCTCCCTCATGGTACCATTGGGTCCTTGTAAGTTCAGCCAGGGCGCGTGGACCGTGCCTGTGTGCGGACTCGAAGATGTAACCTACAGCATTTGCTTGGGGCGACTTGTCGGAATCTGTCTTTTGGTAGTAATTACATCTGTAAGTGTTTGTGCACACCCGCCCCTCCAGCACACCGGTTTACGGTGCCAGGACTGTGCCGTAGAGCCGTTCATACGTCAGTCTTGTAAACGTACGAGTAGCTGGATGCGTACTGTTTCGATGGCGATCCCGCCCCCGTCGTAGTCCAATTAATTTCACTCCGGGCGGGCAAGGTAAAGTAAGACCAAGGCGACGTTACCAATCAAAAGCGGGGGTGGAGAGAGTGTGACGGATGCTGCGAAAGTCTGTCCTCAGTCTTGACTGATGCACGCGGAAGTCACCGTCCCCGCGCCCAGCATGTTGTGAAGCACACGCTGAGGGTCGTTCGTGACGGTTGAACTGACATGAAAGCCAAATAATATACTGTCCTCAGCTCGGCTGTGAAGTTAGAGGGAAATGGAGGGGGCATGAGGAATCGGTCTGGGGACGAGAGAGAGAGAGTGCCATGTCGAGTCCTTTCACTGGGTACAAAATCTGACCTAGTTCCCTCTCGCCACTTATTTCGCCTTTCAGGGGTAAGTTGTGCCATGTTCCTCTTCCGTTCGGTGTCTGCGTCAAGTTCCTGTCAGATTGCAGCCCACAAACAGTTACCAAGACGAGCGGCCTGTGTGAATAATCGTCAGTCAGTCCGAGGGAGTGGTCATTATTGTCGAACCCCAGGAAGCAGTTAGAGGATAGGAGTGGGGGCGGGGGGTGGAAGACTTAATCGCTGGGACAAGAATCTCAGTCACGGCGTCACTCGAACCAGTCACAAGAGACAGCAGCAACCAGGCTGGTGGGCGTACGATGCCTGCTGCAATTATTAGATGCGTCCTCAAATCAACTCAACGGCAGACAGTACACAACTGAAGTACAAATTTCAAGAGTGGGACGGCGAGGATCTACACACACACATCTTGATGTACTTTCAGGCGATAGGCTACTAGCGACATTTATTTCGAGGGGGTCATCTCCGGTCCGAGGCTGCGTTTAGAGGGCTACCGTGAATGAAGCACATTCCCTGGACATTTTACCAGGGTGTGCCCGTAAGCCGTCAGTTGAACCGTTAGTACTCCTGTGACTGACCTTTGGAATTTCGGACCGTCAGTGTTTACAATAGAGCATTTCACGTGGTTGAAATAAAGCCTTGGGATGCGTCAGCGGTCGCCTGTCGACAGAAAAGAAGTCTCTCTAGACTGCGTTCGCTGCCCTAGAGGCCCAACTGTTAATGTACCCCAGGTGGGTTTCATTGTGCCAGCCAGCCAGGCGACAAGACACTCGCCAGTCGTTTTTGTTTACAGCAGGAGTGAACAGTTGTCAGGAGTCCTATATAGGCCATCCTTCAGCTAATTCATTTTGCCTGTATTGCGCGTCTGGCGGGGGCTTTACGTCGCAGGCACCGCTCGGTGTAACCTCCGGCTGGCTGGTAATGGAGGGCGACGGGGAGAGGGCGCTGTGTCCGGCTCGAATCCAGCGCGTAATTTTTTAGACACCTAGTGCGCCTTTGGAAGGCTGCTAACTCGGTCCTCCACGAGATTGCGGGTTAGGTTGCAATGACTCCAAGGTAATGTCCCTTGTGCAACTGCCTTCAGTAAGAGGCCCCCGACTCCCTCTTGACAGGCTGATTCACGCGCAATTGTGCGTGTCATGACGCGTTCCCGACAGAGGTGCAGCGTGGTGCCGCAGACTGGCCTAGACCCGCATGCCGGTCTCGAAAATGAGGCTGTACTTTCAACCACTGAGACGGCTCTAGGGGAAGGGGGCACAAGCAAAGCTTAACATAATGACGCAGTTTTATTACAGGCGAAATGGGACTTCCAGGAAGTAGTTGATGTTCTGTTCTCACTTCTGAACCCACGACCGGAGGCAGTAACAGATAGAGGAATGTTATTACCGACAAAGATAAGGGAGACTGGCGCGGCCGTTTCTGGCTTATTAACCGTCATCAGCCAGTCATAGCCAACCTCGAAGTGTGGAACACCCGAGGCTCGAACTCGCGACCTGTTAGTTAGAAGTCCACGCCTCTAACCACCTGGCCACGAGCCCGTTGCCCTGTCGGTTTTCGATGGGGAATATACAATGGCAGGGGGCGCTCACCGATCGTTCTTACGGAACTCACTCGTTACGTTGTGCCTTATGGGCTCTCACTCGAGCCCAACCAGCAGCCGCACAGCGGCGCATGATATAGGCAGAATGGTATTACCGACAAAGACAATGGAGACTGGAATGGCCATTTTTGGCTTATTAGCGGTCGTCAGCCAGTCATACCCAACCTAACCCACTGGTTAGAGGCATGGACTTCTAACTAACAGGTCGCGAGTTCGAACCTGGTGTGTTCCACACTTCGAGGTTGGGTATGGCTGGCTGACGACAGCTAATAAGCCAGAAATGGCCACTCCAGTCTCCCTTGTTTTTGTCGGTAATGCCATTCTGCCTATATGACACGCGCTGTGCGGCTGCTGGTTGGGCTCGAGAGAGAGAGAGAGCCCGTAAGGCACAACGAAACGAGTGAGTTCCGTAAGAACGATCGGTGAGCACCCCCTACCGCAGAGCTAGAGGACTCAGAAGGGGGGGGGGAAGACGTTCGGGGTCTGTAGGATGCAGCTGATGCGTCACCACGCGAGAGCGCGAGCATTCACCGTGGATGTTCACTTCTGGCGCTGGAAACACTGCCCATATCCACAGAGTCGTCAATGGCAGTTCGACTCGTCAGCACTCTCACCGTAAGTTGTGTTCTATGCCTGGTCAAGTACTCTGTTAAGGTGAGGAGGAGGAGGAGGAGGAGGAGGAGGAGGAAGAGGAGGAGGAGGAGGAGGAGGAGGAGCACGAGGGAGGTCATTGCGTCTGCTGATGGACTGCGGACAGAGCTACGACTCGAGGCGCTCACTACTCGTAGGGTTATCAAACTCTCGCTAGAATTTCATCCTCGGCGAGGTCAGGCGCAAGTGCAGCTGCAGTTTGGGTTCAGAATTGTTAGGGAGTTGGGTGAGATGCGGTTATGTAGCCCCACCTGATGGGTACAGTACTGTTGGGGTTGGGGTTAGGGGGTTATGGTTAGGGGTTGAGATTAGGTCAACCACTTCTCAACCACTCGAAGTACAACTGCGCATGCCCAATAGCTCTTATTTTGCATACAGTTACTTGACCTCGTCGCCTGTGCCCCACCTATAAAACCCCCTATTACCACCGGTCCCGTATTACAGGTAGCTGGGGTTTGTTTACTCCAGGTGGGTCTACATAAACCCATTTGACTGGCAACGGAAAAAAACTGTTTAAAACATAGTGATACCTTTTCTTTGAGTATGGAATTCGAAGAAGGCTTAATTTTATACCAGATGAGTACAAGAAGGAATATTCTTGTAATATTTCCAATAAAGTACACATCTAAAAACAATGGGAAGATTCGAACTGCCTAAGCAGTCATGTTACGCAATATTGATTGTGAAGATGGCCGGAAAGAAGCTCATTT